ACAACTCTTCCTTTTCTATAAAGCAGCCCAAGATGGTCTCACCCCTTTGATGCGTGTTCCCAGGGGTGGGGTTTATGTAAATTTTAGGGTTTGTGATGTCACCAACCCAGGAAGAAGCTTGTTGTAGTCCCTACCAGCCGTTTGTTGTAGTCCTAAAAAAGGGATTTCTGTAAAAGAAAATATCTCCCTTTGCATTGAACTTCGAGCGTCGTAACTTTGCAAATGTGGTTTATGCTCAAACAGCAACATTACACACTAACTAAAGTTAAAAACGTGAAATCATAATCAAGGACCCCTTTAAATAATAAAAAAAAACATAAAAGGCACAAAAAAAAAGAAGCAAATGTTACACCTTAGCAACAGTATTGAGAGATGGATATTTACACAAACCACTAGCTAAATTCAAGTTAGTCCAATCCAGGTGGTCAACAAACATGACAGCAGCGAGTCACCAGTACACACACACACACTAGGGGTCAGTAAATAGGCTGAGGGTGTGGCGGTAGAGCACAACATGAAGTCAATGCTGAATACGATCTGGAGCTGTGGTAACACAATGGAGTCCATTATGCCTGAGCATCAGTCTCATGCCCTCATGATCCCCCCCAAAAACTGCACAATCAGCCAAACACACCACAGCCAATCAGATCTCAGCAATAACTTTTCTGGCAAACAGAGATGCAGATAGATACTGACAAGTGCACTCTTCTTAGCAAGCTCATCTTTGAGCATCCTCGCCAAATCAAATCCAAATGTTAACAGTAATAAAACAAAAACAACATAATCTTTCTTATCACACTCTTAAAAATAAAACACTGATTTTTAGCACTGATGGCTCTTTATATTATTGAAGTAAGAAAGTAAGAGTTTCTAAGTAAGTTCTAAGTAAGAAAATAATGACTCTTTTAAGAACTGTTCACTAAATGGTTCTTCTGTGGCATTGCTGCAAAAAAAAAAAAAAACTTTCTGAACCTTTACTTTCATACTTTCAAGAACACCAAAAATACAGTTCACTCATGAGGTGTTTTGAGTCTGGCTTTGGTTTGGTTTTGGTTTTTGGTTTGGTTTCAGAACAATTTGTTAGTGAATCAGACTCAACCAGAGTTTAAGTTCTTGAGTGACTTGAGTTAACAACTTACCAGGAGGGAAGATCTAAATGTATGGGGGGGTTGGGATAATACATGTATTGTATTTATTTGGATAATGCCAATTTCCATTTTGAGGTGAACTACTTTAACCAACTGTGTTCATTGCAATAAAACTCCTTACTAGATCAAATTAACTTCCAATTTCCATTGACACAAAATGAAACCAAACAGGTACACCTAATTCTATAGACCTACATACAGGCGCATCGATTTGCTGATGGTATGTACTTATTAGGGATGGGGCCGATCCGATCCAGTATCGGTATCGGGACCGATACCAGCGTAAATTCACGTATCGGATTTTCCCGATCCAACCTGCGGAGATATCCGATATCCATGAGCCATGTCTGCGCTTTAACGTTGTCTGCTGAAATGACTCCAAAATTGGTTCCCGCCGGCTAGTCTGCTAGCTGGCTGCAAACTGTGGAATGGATTTCCTGAACGGAGGCGCGGCTCAAATAGACACAGAGTCATGAGACACGCCTCCGCTCAGAAAATCCATTCCGCAGTTTGCAGCCAGCTAGCAGGAAAGCATTGAGCAGCATTATGTCCGCTGTGTGGAAAAACTTCACACTGGAAACACTGCAGAGCAAGACAGCAAAATGCAATGTTTGCAAAGCTGTAATTCAGAGAGGTGGAAGCTCCCTCGCGTCGGTCAACACAACGAACGCAATCAAACATTTAAAAAAGCACCACGTTAAAGAGCACGAGGATTTTTTAGCCAGTGGGCAGAAAGACAACGGGAGCCGTTTTATTGATAGTGTGTGTGTGTGCGTGTGTGTGTGTGCGTTAAGGCCCTTGCACAGAGATGGTCCTCACTGCAGAACATGAAATCCACGGGGAGGAGTCGGATCCAGATCCAACTCCTCCCACCTTACATATACCTAAACCTACCCATCTCCGCCCCCTGATCCCTAAACACACCCCTAATCCCTAAACCCACCCCTAATCCTACCCATCTCCACCCCTCGGATCTTGATCCGACTCCTCCCCGTGGATCTTATGTACTGCATTGAGGTGCTACTGCTTGCACACGGAGTCCGAAATTCACGTCTGAAATTTTCGCACGTTAAAAAATAAATACGACCTCACGTTATGTCAATCACGCTTGCATATATTGCCACTGAAACTTTCGTCCGTCATAAAAAAAAATCTGCGTTTTTCGCATCCGTAGCAAGAAGTTTTAATAGAGTTTGAATGGTGTTTTGACAATTCAGAGCAGCTGAATCACGAATAGCCTACGAAAATGTTGGACTATTGCACTTTTCTTATATTTCTAATATTTTACATTTTAAAACCTTGATTTGTTGATGCTACAAGAGCCAGTGTACTTGTTTTTTTGCTGTTGATGCAAACTGTTTTATTGATAGTGTGTGTGTGTAAGATGTTTACACTTGCACTTTTCTTATATTTCAAGACTCAAGTATTTGACATTTTGGGAATGTAATAAATATTGACATGACAATCAATTTAAAACCCTTACAGTTGCATATTTGCTTTCAGAATGGGATTTTTCCTGTTAACAGGATTTCCTGTTTTTCTGACCTTATATTTACCTAAAGTTGCCTTTTAGGACATAGATACGTACATATCATACTTGCCTGTTGAGAGGAGTTTATTTCAGCATCATATAAAATCAACAATAATGATGATAATAATATTAAAGCAAACACAGCTCTGGTATCGGAATAGAATCGGTATCGGCCGATATCCAAATTCAGGTATCGGGATCGGATCGGAAGTGAAAAAATGTGGATCGGTGCATCCCTAGTACTTATTGACAAAAACAATACGCAACTGTGTTAAAAGCCAGTGAAGTGAAGACAGGACAGCAAAAAGGGAATTAACCTACTCTTCAAACCCCATTAAGCTGGTCTAATGCGTAGAGGGCTGGGAACTTACTTAATAAAACACACAGATACACAACAAGAGTTCACAGCGATAAGGCTTTGTGGAACATGCTAGTCTAGCACATAACATTAAGTTCTGTCGTGCTCCATCTGTGAACTAGTAATCTAGTGAGCAAATAAACTGTTAGGGTGTTAGCTTGAGATGCATCTGTGTGCAGAATCGCCTGCTGTGAGGATAAGAAAGATAAGATCATTGCATCTGAATTTGAAACTTGAGGGAACTCTCAACAAAACAAAACAAAAATGATGCTCATTATGTGAATCAGCTGTTGTCATTCAGTCGCTGACATAATCACATTCACATTCCTGATGACTGTTCTTGCTAAGTCATCCTATGTGTGGACACAAGTGTGTGTGTGCATGAGGCTATGTCCACATTGTTGGTTGTAACCATATATGAGATGCCTCATGAAAAAGGGAAAATATGTGTAGGAGTCAGACTATGACTTTGTTGGTGTTTTCCATGTTGTCTGCAAGTATCTGGTCACTTATAACAACAATCAGTCACATTCAGCAACATTACACGAATACCTACAAAAAGGTTTAAATTGGGAAAACAGTGGTGGCCTTAAAGAAGCTTTAAAAGATTAAAGTGCTGCAGATACATTAACTGGACTAGTGATAGTCAATGAATCAGCCAGACTGATTAATCTGCCGATACTTCAGCATATTATCCAAATATGATTTATTAATGGAAGTGTTCTCCCTTTTTTCAGATTAAAAATCGTACCACAATTTTTTCTGCTTTCAACTTTTCAAAAACTTGTCATCATATTACCGTGATCTTGTTTCAAAACTGTATGACTTTATTTTTTCTGTGGGACATAAAAGATATTTTGAGAAATGTTTTTTTTTTTTATCATACCATAATCAACGGTGACAAAAAGAGGTTACCGACATTCTTCAAAATATCTTTGTGTTCCACAAAATAAAGAAAATGATATAGGTTTGAAACTACATGATGACAGAACTTTTATTTTGGGGTGAATTACTCTTTAAAGCATAAATGTAAAAGTAGCATACAGCTTTACCATATGAAATGTACTATACATAATATTATTCAATTCCAAAAAATTATATTGAAAACAAAAAATTAAAAAAAATATTGAAAAGGAAACAAAAAAGAACCCTTCGGTTAAATCGTCTAAATTGGTTATTCGGATAATCTGCTGAAAATTCCTAAATATCCTCAGTCTGTCTGATATATCGACTATCACTAGTCCAGTTAATGGTGCTCTTTTAAAGCTTCTTGATGGACATTTGTTTTAAACTGCTTTTGACATTTTTCCAAAAGAATCTGGTCAGCATATGTGCCCATGTTACACAACACAAGAGTGTTGGCTTACATTTAATTGACCATGAATAGAAATACACATAAAACATTTCTTTAAACACTTTCCAGAAACCATAAAAGGGGGAAGATTATCTATACAAGGCCTAAACTTAGCCTACATTTTACTTGTTTCGGTTCAATAAGATTTTATGTGAACAATTCTCTGGCACACCACAACGAGAAAACATAAATATTGGTGTTTAAAACAGAGCAGGTCTAAAACAACCCAAGCTATCAAGCTCAACAGGGTTTTCCAAATGAACTGCAGTATATTAGTGTACAACCCAAACATTTTGACTTGTGTTTAGCCACCACAAATGTCTCTTTACACCATAAAGGGGGAGAAATGGCCCCTCAGATGAAGGGTGGATGGGGGACTCCATCGCTTTAGAGATAAACTCAGTCATTCTTCAATTCCGATGAGCTTTCTAAGTAAAAGTGAATGCATCTCATGGGTCTTAAAAGCAACTCTATTGTCTGCCCCCCAAATCCATGGGATTATTTTGGTATAATAAAACACGTGAGGGGTTTTAGGATCTAACTAGAAGGGTGCAATAATCTAACTGTAAATTTTTGAGGGGGTTATTCTGTAATAAGCAGTCAACTTACTTGGATGGAGTCATTTGCCATGGTTGTATCTGGAGTGGCGTTTGTATCAGGACACCCAAATTGTCGTTCCTCCTCTTCCTAGATTCTCAATGATAGCCGACAATGTCAGCTCTCAATGCAACAGTTTAAGATCCAGCAGCGGTTGAACGACTTATTAAAACTCTGTGCATGTAATAAATGCTGTTTCATCACTGTCAGACCTGATGCAGGTTGTCATCTGGACAAAACCGAAGCTTCGAAAATTCCTTCAATTTAAAATAAAACAACTGCATGTAAAACATTATATAAAAGCATTAGCTATATAAATGGCAACGTTCAATCAAACTATAATCTGGCATATCGACAGCTTGCCGTTAAATCGTAGCCTATGTATTTTTCCATGATAGCGCCCTAAAATAGTTCTTCTGGTGGAGCTCGTTACAGATGAATACATGTACCGCATTGGTCAGGGTAACTGGTCAAAAGAGTTGAGCTTTTCTTCTTCATCTGAAAACACCAACGCGTATATTCAGTTCAACAGCTAGCTCATTATCAAACGAGGCCCGAGGAGTTCACATTCACAGCCGGTGAATAATACAACAATCCGTTCCTCTGGAAAAAAGATACTGTCGCCGCTCTCCAGTGTGTTCCTCGCGCGCCAGTGATGAGGCTCGTGTACTATCTCCGGGCGCGAGCATTGTGGACGCAGGCAGTGCGCCGGTTGCGCGCTCTTGCGGGTCACGTGATGTCGCATTGTGTTCACAAGCAAATGAATTTGGTTTCATCACTCCCTCATGGCAAACAACATTTACAGCTGTTGATTCACACCGCAATATATATATATGTTCAAATGTTACAGCGGTTAACAAATCTGTATTTTAAAATAAAAAGTCGTACGTTACTTTGTTAAACATTAAGCTTTTAAACTGAGCAACTTTCAACTAAGACTAAATTTACTTCAAAATAAAGGCTAAGATATTGTAGACATCCAAAATACGATACTTAATATATTGTGTGCGACTGTCATTACTTTTCTCTGAAATACCAATTAAATATATGAAAGCTTCTTTCCGCCACAGAATAAAAAATAAAAATTATCTCACTTTCTCATTTTATCTTTATTTTATCTCACAATTCTGACTTTTTTCCTCGCAGAGTTGACAAGATCACATCTTGCTAAAGGGACCAAAAATATTGATGACTCAAACTGCATCAATATAACTCAAACCAGAATGAGTTATAAAAACGTGAGATTTTTATATTTTTTATATATATATTTATATATATGTGTAAACTAATTAATTTTAAATTACTTAAAACGATTCCTTAAAATAATTTAAAACTATTCCTATCATGATGCATGCGATTACCACTTAAAACGTAGGCCTAATATTTGAGTTTGCACACAGATTAAATAAACTGTAAAATTATGACATTTATTTGTTACCTTGTTGTAGATAAGTACAACCTGGTACAACTCTGATACCCGTTGCTGGGAGTGTTTCGGAGTCCTAGCAGGTTCAAGAGTAGGAAATACAAGTATGGTCATAACGAATAGCTTTTCAACGGTCGAGGGAAATACAAATATGGTCATGGCGAGTAAAACGACAACGGGCGTGGAAATACAAATACGGTAACGGAAATCACTCAAACCTCTAAACTGCGCCACTTTGCCACAATAATTTGTATTTTTCTCATTTTTCTATTTATTAGTTTAGTCACAGGTGCAATACAATGTACAGACTAAAATTAATAAGCAAAGTCAACAATTAGCCGTCAAAGTTTGTGACATTGCAGGTATGACATATTTTACTAATTTTGTCACGTGTATGTTGACGTGTTTGCAGACGATGATCGATTGTGTTAGCAAGGATGCACATGCAGTCGTCAATTACTTTTAAAAGTATTTTACACACGTTTCTTGTCACAGAGCTCATTATTTAATGGTTTCAGGTTGTCTGATTAAGCCATGATGGCAAACTCAGAGCATGATGAGTCTTCACTATGTAAAGAGAATGAAGCAACCCAGTCTTTGAGAGAAGTAGGAACATTTACACAGACTGTTGAAGGTAGGCTACTGGAAATATTTTTTTTTTTTTGCTAATCATTTATCCATTCCCAGCCCAAACCCAGAGCCACATTGATGCGTAAAATACTGCTTTTGTTTACAGAAGACACTACAATGGCGCCCTCTTTTGGTGATGAGAGGTCATTTTTGGGTGAAGGTCCTGCCGCAGGAAACACTTCTCCGTCCTCTCAGGATAAGAGAATGATTGATGAAAAAATCTCTCCCATAGAAAACCAACTTCAGTACTTGCTGAACAAGGCAGATGAGTTTCAAACACAGCTTTTGTGGAGGTGCGGTTATATCTAGAAAAAGAAGATTTTGATTGTTTTCTGTCAATGTCTCATGATTAATTATGCTTTAATAAGCCAACATATGTTATTGGATCTTTATTATTGTTGTTTTGATATTAGAAGAGACGAGAAAACACAGTTTTATTATACAAAAGCAACTACGTCAACACAGAAAGAAAAAAAAAGCTGTACCTATGAAAACATTTCATTGGGTCTCTTTTTTAACAGCCAAATGTCTTCTGATGTTACCCATCTGATAAAAAAAAAATCTGCTCTTGTATTTATTGTTGTTATAGCCAAGACTGCCTCCAGAATTATGAGTTTGTCCATATTGTCCCAATGTTTCTGCAAACTTGTCAGTCGTACTTCACTTACTTGGAGTCCACAGCCAGAAACTCCAACCCCTTCCGCCCACCTCTGTCCACATATATTCGCACACAGGTGAGAGACTGATTTATTCTGCACATCTCAGGCTCTGCATTGTGGGAATAACTCAAATATTCACTGTGTTTGTATCCATCACAGCTTTTGCAGTTCTCTCAGCAACTGTGTTCTCGTCTGGAACAGCTGATGTTGCTGTACGCCTCCTTCAGTTTCGTCTCACTGGAGGAATCTGATCCACTGAGGTACAAACCAATTAAAAATCATAGATAAAGACAGGCAGCAGACTTGGCAATGACGGTGAAGAGTCAGTCAGAAGATATGGATCCTTTATTAGCACAAAAGAAAGGTTCTCAGTCAGAGGCCTGTTTTTTTGGATGTAGTCATAAAGTGTAGTCATAAAATACCCAGGGGTTGCATTATTTCTGTTAGTACTATTTATTTTGTTGCAGATTTTCACTAAGTATCTCTTTCTACAGTATCTCACACTTCTATATTGGCCAGTGTCAAATAGACAACATGAAGCTGTCAATCTTCCGATACTGTTGCCCCACCCCCTTTCTTGCCACAGCCAGTACTGGGCTATACAAGCGTATGCGCTGGAATGTGGATCGAGAGATACAGGGAGGAGAAGGAAAGACGTTTGACAGTGCAGAGTTGTAAGTGAGGTTTAGTCAGAGAGACAGTCATTTAAAGGTCCCATCCCATTTGTTTGTAAAAAGGAGTAAGGGGAATTTTATTGTATTTTTACTTATATTTCGATAGTAATTTTTATTATTACTACCGTATAATAATTTTATACAATACCTGTTATTAGTTAATAATAATGTCATTTAAACATCCATTTTCAGCCAAAGCAACTTTGTTAGATGCACAGGGAAACACTGATAACCGTGTAAGAGTAATATCTCAACAAATATCCAGTTTCTTGTTCACTTTGGCATGGGATTGAATTATATTGTATGTGTTAAGAGTCTTATTTTGTGTGTGTGTGTGTTTTAGCTTATTAACACCAAAAACATTCTAAATTCCATTACAAATCTCAGGTTAATTATCAAAAAGAGAACATAAGTCATATTTTGGCGCTGAATAATGCCACATCTTAATTTTTACAACAACCCCTTACTACCTCCACAGTTACTTTCTGTGCTGCGAGGATGTCATTGAGACTCAAGATGAGAAGGATGGAGAGGGAACATGCGAGGGAGAAAATACAGAGAGAGAGAAAAGAGTGGCAAGGATTTGGTCTATTGGTCGGTGGGTCCAGACATACCCTGACCCAGAGGACATCACTGATTGGTAATGTACTGCCCTCAGTTCAATAGGAAAAGATGGAGAAAAGATTATTAAATGCATTACTATCTACTCATACACTCACCTAAAGGATTAGTAGGAACACATACTAATACTGTGTTTGACCCCCTTTCGCCTTCAGAACTGCCTTAATTCTAAGTGGCATTGATTCAACAAGGTGCTGAAAGCATTCTTTAGAAATGTTGGCCCATATTGATAGGATAGCATCTTGCAGTTGATGGAGATTTGTGGGATGCACATCCAGGGCACGAAGCTCCCGTTCCACCCCATCCCAAAGATGCTCTATTGGGTTGAGATCTGGTGACTGTGGGGGCCATTTTAGTACAGTGAACTCATTGTCATGTTCAAGAAACCAATTTGAAATGATTCGAGCTTTGTGACATGGTGCATTATCCTGCTGGAAGTAGCCATCAGAGGATGGGTACATGGTGGCCATAAAGGGATGGACATGGTCAGAAACAATGCTCAGGTAGGCCGTGGCATTTAAACGATGCCCAATTGGCACTAAGGGGCCTAAAGTGTGCCAAGAAAACATCCCCACACCATTACACCACCACCACCAGCCTGCACAGTGGTAACAAGGCATGATGGTTCCATGTTCTCATTCTGTTTACGCCAAATTCTGACTCTACCATATGAATGTCTCAACAGAAATCGAGACTCATCAGACCAGGCAACATTTTTTCAGTCTTCAACTGTCTAATTTTGGTGAGCTCATGCAAATTGTAGCCTCTTTTTCCTATTTGTAGTGGAGATGAGTGGTACCCGGTGGGGTCTTCTGCTGTTGTAGCCCATCCGCCTCAAGGTTGTGCGTGTTGTGGCTTCACAAATGCTTTGCTGCATACCTCGGTTGTAACGAGTGGTTATTTCAGTCAAAGTTGCTCTTCTATCAGCTTGAATCAGTCGGCCCATTCTCCTCTGACCTCTTGCATCAACAAGGCATTTTCGCCCACAGGACTGCCGCATACTGGATGTTTTTCCCTTTTCACACCATTCTTTGTAAACCCTAGAAATGGTTGTGCGTGAAAATCCCAGTAACTGAGCAGATTGTGAAATACTCAGACCGGCCCGTCTGGCACCAACAACCATGCCACGCTCAAAATTGCTTAAATCACCTTTCTTTCCCATTCTGACATTCAGTTTGGAGTTCAGGAGATTGTCTTGACCAGGACCACACCCCTAAATGCATTGAAGCAACTGCCATGTGATTGGCTGATTAGATAATTGCATTAATGAGAAATTGAACAGGTGTTTCTAATAATCCTTCAGGTGAGTGTATATCCTTTTATAATACTGCAGTTACAGTTTCTGCTTTCCACAATACGCAAACAAAAACGGAAGCTAATCCTAGACAAGCGCTGAGCTGGTTTGAGATCATATGTGTTTTAGGACTACAGTTAAAGTTAGCTGCTAAATTCATTGTGTGTATATGTTTTGTAGGGTGTTGTGTTCAGTCCCCTGTGGTCAGTACAAGCAGCTGTTGTGTCTGGGAATTGAAGAGCCTTCATCCTGCACTGCCACAGACTGCCTGCTGGGGGTGCTGCTGTCTCCGGAAATAGATGGTACATTTGGCATTAAAATATGAGGTTGTGCTTGCTCAGGGCCTCACCCATTCTGGAAAGAGCGTTTGGTTTATTGAAATCAGATGGTTAACAGAGTACAGATAGAAGTTGTAAATCCTTTCAAAATAACTATTTTATAGTTCATGGCTATTGTTAATGTTGTTCTGCAATGTCAGTTTGTTATATGTTAAATGATGAAAAGCTCATTAAGCGGAGTCAAAGTTCAAGATTAAATGTCAAACCAACTTTATTTTTTCATGAAAGCATTAAAATACAGTGGCCGTCCAAGTTACAAAGTCCAGAAATAAAACCTGCTGGCAGTCCTGGCCCACTGCCTATTCTTCTCTATAAAACAAAGAAATAAAACAATCCTTCCTTTCAAAATAATAAATTACAAAAATATACACAATAAAAGTGGGGAAATGTACCACTGAGATGCAGTTATGTCTTTGCACAGTTATTGTAAAACATGGTAAAGAACAATGTAGAGGGCAGAGCATTATGAATAACGTTGTGTATTCCTTCATTTTTCTTATTGTAATTCAGCCCAGTCAGAGATAGAGTGTTGTTTTCAGTGCATTATTAGTACTGCTGGTTTTTGTCTCTATACAGTAGCTTTCCCTGTACATTTTTTGTAAAGTGATATGTCAAGTTATGTACAACAGTAGTTCAGCGAAAATACAGTGAAAGTCAATCTACCTGGAATCCCTGTGTGTGTTCCCTGATTAAAATGCAAAGTGGTTCCTTTGATATATTAAAAAAAGTAACAATTCTTCTACAATTACGGTGTCAAAAACAGTACTATATATATAATCTCTAAACTACTAGTTCACAGCACTGGACAAACAGGCAGTACATACACGGTATAGTACAAATGAAATTAAAACCTCTCTTCATAATCTCTCTTCATAATACAGTAAATCGACTTTAAACATGATCCTTTTTAAAATAATATACATGTACTTTCACAAACGACAAAACAGATAATATAGGCGAGATGAGCTCCAATAATCAAATTGTGCTTTAACATTCCTCTGGGCAATCAAAATTGCCAAGTTAAAATCAATTCATTCAATCAGATGTGACAAACAAAACTCCTCAAAAGATACACAAACGACAATAACATCTGACTTATCTAATTACAAGTTAAATTTAGGTGAACATATTAGGCCTGCTTATAATGTGACCCATTGGATTCCCTTTGCTTTGGAATTTTTTTTTTTTTTTTTGCAGTTGCAGAGAAACACAGAGACAGATCAGTGAAAGACAATTTTTCCCATTCATACTAGATGAGACAAAACAATTAGACCCCAAGGAGGGACTGTAAACACTTGGTAGACTATTGTGACAGTGTATGAGAGTGCTAATTTAGCTAAAAGTCCTTTCTAGCCCTCTAAATGTGGGAGTCAATCTGAGGGACAGCAAACCAGAAAAGTTTATTTAAATGAGTGTGGTTATGAGAGCTGCTACTTGTTCCTCAAATAGATACTAGTCATTCAAAATTCGGACAGGTAAGGGAGGCACAGTGTTCAGAAGGTTCACAGTAAAGATGATTATTTGATGTAGCTGCACAGTTGTCATCTTATATGGTTGCAAAATGTCTAACACATTCAAATCTAGAATGTCAAAGGTTCTGTTGTCAGCTATTTCTAAAATGTTACAGCAGTGCATATAGTTCCAAAAAAGAAAACAACAACAAATCATTACTTTGTAGGTCACACATTTTCCATGCGTCACTCTTTATAAGTATTAGACCAAAAATGATCTTTGACCCCCCAAGATGTTTAGAAATTTCAGGTAGCTGTGCATTGTTTGGAAAACCTGTAATACCGTCTTCTATTTTACAGTTTTCATTTCCAAATTACTCAATGAATTGCCCAGTGAAATTCCTGCAAATCTTGCAAACCAGTGGATTTAATTAATGCCAAATTAGTTTTTCGATGCTTTTTAATTGCACAAAAGCTGCATTAAACCATTTTGGTCTTTTGTAATAAGCAGAGCAAAAAAAAAAAGAAAAAACCCTGAATTTGAAACCTGCATGTTTCAATTTACCTCAACTTTTTCACAGATATTTTGCTCAGAGAAGCCAAAGAAAGGAACCCATTTTGTTTAAACTTGCTCAGTCATTGAGTTGGCATTTTGCCTCCATTGTGGGTAGAGGGCTCAATAATGACTAAGAGATAAATGTATGTAGCCCAAGCCAGCCAGACATCTCAATTAAACCTTAAGGAAATGGCTTTTAGGCATGGGGGCAGGTCAGATGTGGCTGTAGTGTTTCATTGCTTTTGAGTGGGTGGAGAGTTGAAATGAAAACTCACTGCTCTAGAATAACTCTCAGGTTGAAGACCAATCAAAGAAAGAGCAAGATGGTGATAGTCCTGTTCTGCAGCAGCAGTTTCTCGAAAATGGATGACTCTGTCCAATCTGTGACTACATCCTCCGTAAAACGGTTATCTAATGCTACAACATGCGCTTTCCTATTGGTGGACCTTCATCTTAAATTCTTTGAGTTCATATTTTTGGGAAGCTTTTTATTGAACTTTCCTCAGTGATGCGTCTCCAGCTCTACAACGGTCCACTCACCTTGAGCAGAGCTGCCTGGAACCTCAGGTGAGAAGCTGCTCACAGACGTCACAGTGGCTGAAGGGGGTGTCAAAGGTGGCAACAAGTTGGGCCACAGGCTGCTTTCGAGGGGGCTGAGTGTCCCACCTGCTCCTCCGGGGAGCAGAAAAAGGGGCGAGCAACCATCACCTGTAAGCAGTAATGTCTGATGGATGAGCTGATGAACAATGTCCACCTTCTTGCCCCAGTCAAACTCCAAAGGTGGAGGTTGCTCGGGAAATCCCAAGGGAGAAGGACTGTCTTGATGTGATGCAGGGTCCGTCTCCTGAAGTTCTCGCTGTGGATCCTGAGTAGTAGACTCTGGGGAAGGTGTTGAGTATTGTGAATAAAGATCATCAGAGTCATTTTTTTCAGTGCATCTCTGTACGTCTTCTCCATGACACGCATTAAAAGAGCTTTTATCTTCTACTTCCTCAAACACTCTTTGTCCCCCCTCCTCCCGTTCATCTTCTGTGTCACTTGCTTCCACAGTTTCATAGATGGTGGAGAGTCCTGATGAAGGAGAGAGGACGACTGGTGTATGCACCTTGTGTTTTTGCTGCTGCTGCTGCTCAAGTTCTTGTTGCCACTGCATGATCTGGTGTCGCTGCTTCAGTTCTTGTTCCTGCTGCTTAAGTTGCAACTCAAGTAAATTTCTCCTCTGTTCCTCCTCCTGCTGCTCCCTTTCATTCCTCACTTGTTCTTCCTCTCTCGCTTCTAGTCTCTCTTGCTCTCGATTACGTTTCTCCTGTCGTTGCTGGATCTCATGAAGGTGCTGTTGGTGTTGCTCTAGACATCGGAGTTGTGTGTTTGTCACTGCATTTGGTATTCTGGGTGGGAGGTCAGTGGGAAGCCGTGGTGGTTGGGTCACATGGGCAGCACGTGGCCGAAGACGAAGTTTGGACGACATCGTCATTTGGATGGAAAGCAAGTCATTTGGTTGTGGCGGAAAGCTTAAGTTCCTTTCTGTAAATGAAGCATAGAGTCCAGAGCATGTTTAAATAGGAGAGTTAAGCAGAATGCAATAAAACAATGTTAAAGATGGTTTTGGTGAAGGAGAAAAAAAGCATTGTGGAGAAACAAAATTGTGAGATTGCAGTATAAGATGAAACAATTGTAGCAGAAAATCAAACATAAGTGTGCACCTTGTGACATTTTGTGAAGAGATTTGTGCAATAAAAGTGGCTATACCCTGTATATGCAGTAACCACTAACTAGTGTGAAGAGCAAACAAAGAAAACAAAAGCTGATGAGGTAACCAATCTCCCTTAATGTGACAAGCTGAACACATGCAAAAGTGAGTGCTCACCATGCATATTACAATACAGCAGAAAGCAAACATGTTCTTTTTTTAAACAATGAGAAAACATGACCCACCAATAGATCCATGCATATAAAACAAAACATGCTTTACACAATAAGCCACCTCTCACTATACCAGCATATTTCTTTGGTGAGGTGAGCATGCTTAAAAACAGGAAAAATTACAGAAAAGTGCATTGTGCAAAGCAAGTCCAGTTTGGGGATTAGGAAGAACCCAGCATAGGGATTTACTGAAGTCCAATTAGTCCAGGTAAATATGTCAAGTCAGGTCCTTTCAAATAGCTTCAGCCGTTAATAATCAGAGTGATTAAAGCGGTTTCACCCAGTTAGTCCCAAAGTGGAAGGTGTGCAAAGTCTACTCCAGAAGCAGCGGTATCAAAATACAAAGATGGAGAATTAAAAACAAAAATGAGGTGGAGGACTTAAAGCACCTTGATAGAGGGTGAGATCCAGAAGGTTGATGGGGTCAGATCTTGTTTTTCCTCCTCTGGATGGTAGGGAGTTGAGAGGAAGGCGGGATCAAACAAGGAACGGAGGAGGAATACAAGCAAAAGGAACATACTGGCATAGAAGAAAAACTCTTCTGCTGCAAGCATCCTGTTTTCTTTATATAATTCACTTACACAAGGTTTAACGTATGTATGTGTGTGCAAATGTGAATGTTCAAGTTTACAATTTAGTATAAGTAACTGAATTATAATGCCACAACAAATACGGTAGCAACTAGTTTAAGTGAATAAATCAAATATTCCATTATGACCCAAATGTGCTCTGAAGCTTTAATAAAATAAAACAATACCAAGAATGTGTCTCATCCTTATGTACTAAATATTTGACATTGTTTCACAATATTAAATACCTAATAATAAATTCTAATGAATATAACAAAGTAATCTTTGTTGTCATTTGGCTACTTCCAAAGTTACCAGTTTGAAAGTCCAAAGTGATGGACGAACAGTGGGCATTAAAATAAACCAGTGCAAATTAGCTTGAAACGCAAACCTCAAGAAACATACAGAGTAAAAAGAAATCATGTTAAACATCTAAACTTTATTTAACGCTAAGACAATAAGTACTCCAAATAAGACATAAAAAAGTAAGGGGTTAGCAAACCCTAAAGTGCAGAAGAGAGAAACATGTGAGGACAGGATATGATAATGATGGGAAAGGGATGAAAGAGTGGCATTTATAGTTAACAGACAACAGAATACAAAAAGCAATGAATATACATTTGTTCAGTAAAAATTGGATAAATACACACAAAATATGTTGATTACATTGTTCATTTTTCTTCAATGCTTCTTTTGTCATTTTGAAGACTCCACAAACAAACAATTTCATGCCAGTTCAGACCAACACCCATTATTAGTTTTAAAAAGAATAGTTGAGAAAGTCACCTCAAGTGTAAATGGTAGTAGCTATTGCACATACAGGTTCTAAGCCATATACGTAATTTTAATATCTGTTTCATATTGTGTAAGTGGAACCATTGAATGAGCGTTTTCGTAAACTGAATAAAAAGACATCATCAACTGGGAAACCCCAAGCTAGACAAAATCCTAAGTGCACTCTATACGTTACCTGCCAGGGGACTATCAGTCTTTTCGCATATAGTGGAGTAGTAGGGATGCTGAGCGTTAATATCTTGCTCTTCTTGGTGCTGTGGGGATGAAGGGTCAGTCAAACCTGACTGTAAGGGTACAACTCTTGGTACTGAATCAGGCTCAGGCAACTCACTGGACTCTCCACAAAGCATGTAATGTTGCTCTGGGTAGGACCGGAACTCCCCATGTTGGCTTTTGATATGATCAATCTTTTCCCCGGATGCAGTAGTAGGTATCAGGATCAACTCTTTAAGAAGAGATGGATCCTTGGCCTCATCTGGGAGCTGCTCTTCGTTTTCAAGAGAAAAGATGCCAGGACTCTTGCTGCAACTCTCAGCAGATGATTGGGCATTGGAGTTAGAGGTCATGTAGTCAAAACCATAGGATGCAGCAGAAGTGGCAGACTGAGGGGTTTCACTACCACCACCAGCTTCATTCTCACCGCCCATTTCTTCACGCTCCTCCAGACTGGACACATTGTGGCCCACAGGTGCAGTTTCATAGGCATTCCCAGTGCCAGGTAGCTCAGCTTGAGGTTCACCGATCTGCATTTCACCTTCCGTGTCACTTGCCTCATCCTCTGTAGCTGATGAAGGAGATGATGGAGCAGTTGCTGGACCACCCAATACATCATCAGCTGGCAGAGTTTCTGGTTCTTCTTCCTCATCATCATGTTCAAGGTGGATGCCTAGGTCCTGCATGATGTCAGGCAGGACAGTGGGGACAGGGTCCAGCGGTTCTGGCTGCAGCTCCCCTTTAGAATGAGTTTCAGTATCGGAGAACTTGTTGCAATCTTCCACCTCTGCTGGTATACTTGTGTCTCTGTTACTATCAGATGCTAAGTCAGGGTGACTGGAGGTACCAGACTGGAATTTGCAGGTTTGAGAGGGTGTCAAGCCTGGTTGGGGGCTAACATCTCCATCTGAAGCAGTTAGTGGTGCTTGTTGAGGTGAGCAAGTTGGAGGATCATAAAGGTTTGGTGGTAGAGGGGAGGAAGAGCCTCTTTCAGAACTAACATCAAGTTTTGCTTGAGCAGGTGTTTGTGTTGGGGTCTCTGGGTCTGCTTGCCAACATTCAGAGGAAGGACTTGAGATAAGAGTAGAGGCAGGTTGTGGTGGCTGGGCCCAGGCATCAGCAAAGTAACTAGACTGATTCCACTGGGTTGCCAGGGGGGCAGAGGGAGCCATGGGAGGAGGCTGGATTCGGTTCAAGTTGTCTAATCTGTAGTCTTCGGTCAAGTCATCCTCATCTGCATTCCCATAACTTTCAAGCCCACTCTCAGTAATGCCCTCACTTGCCATTTCTACATCTTCATCCTCTTCATCGTCCTCATTGTCATGATGTTGCCTATGAGAGTCCTCTGCTCTTTCTGACCCTACCTCCATGTCACAAACTCGATCATCATAGTCATCATCGTCATCTTCGTTAGCAAGAATATCAGGAACCTTCTCAAAGTCAGGGGACCCAACAGATGCACCTTCACCATCAGCTCCTTTAAGGCTTGCATCACCTAGATCATCCAAGCTTTCCGTGCCCTCCAGGACACCTGGAGCGCTGAGCTCTGATGCTCCCTGCTGGCTGCAACTCACCTCCTCAGAGTCAAGCTCCGAAAGCAAGGCCCCTGCACGCCAAACAGACCCAGCAAGTCCAGCTGACCCAGGTCGAGACTCTTCGGTAGGCTGGGTGCCACTCATTTCTGACAAAGATACTTGCTGACTGCCTTCTCTCTCTTCTTCTTCCACTGCTTCATAACAGTCACTGTTAATCGCTTCAGCTTTTTCAGCCACCTCAACACCTGAGGACAGTATAGTAGCAACAGAGTTATTAACTGGTGAAGCAGTCATGGTTTCCTGCTCAGTTGCTTCCTGCGCAATTGGTTCCACAGCTATAATAAGCTTTTCATCAACTTTTTCAGACACATGCTCTTCAGATTCATGATCGACCGCAGATGATGTCGGACAAGCAACTTCAGCAGGACTAGTTTCTATTAAGGCCTCTAGAGCCTCGGGCTCTGTTTTAGAAACATCCAGCACACTTTGGGAGTTTACATTAGGGACCTGCACATCTACATTTTCCTGCACATCTAAAGAGGAGGTTGGTGCATCCAGAGAGCTCTCGACAGTTGGAGTAACTTCAGGCCCTGAAACAGACTCTTCCCTGGCTATGGCAGCAGCTGTTGCTACAGCAACAGTAGCTTCTGCAGCTGCTGAAAGTTGCACGGACTCTGCTGCAGCTTCTTTAACATCAGGCTTTGCTGCAGATTGTTTATCATCGGGCTTTCCTTTGACAAGTGGCAAAACAGACTGTGTTGGTTTAGATGGCTGAAGCTTCACACCAACCCCACTACCTGCAGGTCTACGATTAGGAGATGCTGCAGCATTCTTGCCTGATGCTGGCCGTGAGGGATTGTTTCGTGGACTAGGGGGCACCTTACGTGTTGGTACACTTTTTTTGTCATCTGGTTTGGGTTGAGGTGCTTTGATGCCAGGTGGAGGTCGTTTGGTAACTGCAGCTGGTTTTGGAGCTTCTGAATTTGAAGGCTTGTTGGAAGCAGGACGAGAAAATGAGGCAACTGTTCTTTTTGCAGGCACTGTAGTGCTCGTTTTGCCAACATCTATAAATGACAAATAGATTTTGATGACTTAACGAAATACGCAAAAAAAAATTAAGCAATGCTTTTCCATAAATAATATGAATTTAAATGCAAATAAATGTTGCATCACCTTTCCGAGCAGCTGATGCTGTAACCAAGGGTTTAACAGGCTGTTGTGTAGCAGTGCGGCTTGTTTTAGTTACTGTAGAAGTAGAAGTAGTTGTACTGGTTACCGTTCTTCCTGTAGCAGATATAGCAGCTGGTCGTGGGGCAGGACTTCCAGTTGCCCTAAGAAAGAACACACAAAAAAGTCATGAGCACTTTAGAAAAAGAGTGATGTCTGTTTGATGTTTGCCGTTTAAATTTTAGCATTTGGGATGCGTTTCACACATTCAGATAGTTTACTGTATGATTGAAAAAGTACAAAAAGCTTAGCAGATAGACGAGGTAAGTTTTAAGGTGCAATAATTGGTTTCATTACAGTTCCTTCCAAGATAATGTTTTGTGTCAGTACATGCACAAAATAGGTTCTTATCAAACCAGCTTTCTGTCTTGGGTGGTAAATCTGTATTCTGCATGTGTACGATAAAAGCAATTTCAAGCAGCAACAGAAAACCAATCCACTAGGGCCATTCATCAACTAATGCATCTACCTCTCATTTCTCTAACCTGAGAGAAAGTGATTTGAGTCGGGAGGAGGAAACTAGAAAAGGCAGTAGAAATGGTGTTAAGGAGGAAATAGGAGTGGGGATGGGTAAAGCGTTTGGTAAGAGACCACATTAGGGAGAAATGGAAGATGATAATCAATTTCCTTCGGTCTAGCCTATACTCCCTTAATGTAGTTGCTTCTTAATTAACCTTTTCATGTTCACATAGGGGAGAATTAGTGATGAGAAGATCACTTGCTTCATCTCATATGCCACAGTTACTTGCCATTTAAATGGATGCTTTTTTTAGTCAAAAAGACTTGCAGTTCACAAATTGCCCTTAGCTAGTTGATCGACAATCATATTAGCCTTAACCGGACCTAAGACTCAGCTTAACACTCTTATAGGATCTGATAAAGTTATTTACAGTCAGTTTTATTTGGACAAGCACAACAGGGTAACACGTCACAGAAACAAAGAACGCTACTAAAAATACAATGGTCACAGTTCAGTGCCACTGTACACTGTAAAATCTAACAGTTGTTCTTACTAAGACTTTAGTTAACTTTACTTAATGTCCAATAATTTGTTGAACTTACTTAAAACCATTTAGTAATCTGTACTGTTTGCATGCTATGCCTTCGTTACTCAAAAAAACCAAGTAAACATTACTTGAATGGGTTGAGTACCATTTTGCCAAAGCAAAAAAAAAAACAAAAAAAAAAAACAGGCGGGGCATGGTTTTTGAGGCAAGTGCTGAATTACTCACAGGTTTGTTTATTAGACGAATGAAGCTTCTGAGGTAACGCAGCGCTGCTTCACTTGGTCTACACTATCACACTAAACTGCATTTGAGTGTTGAAAGTTATAATGTTATTCTATGTTTTAGTTTGTTGGCTTTATAAGACTAGCAGTAAGCTAGATCAACATTAGAATAACATACAGATCATATTCTAACATTTCATCATGTTGAACTATATAACATTGATTAGTTATGTAAATTTGCTCACCTGTCTAATAAAGTACATGTAAGAGCTCTGTCAAGTCGAAGTTAGTCGCGGATGTGGAGCTCTCGCGTTTCTCGAAAACGCCACGCTGATATTGATCCTCGTTTTAGTTATTTTTTCCCCAAAGTCTGCTTGCCATGGTCCATAATGTTTGAACGAAACAACAACAGACGTTACGCACTACGCAGTTGTCCACGTCTGTCGCCATGGTTACTATGGCAGTACGAGCGGAAACCAGGGATAACGCGGATATTACGTCATTGACAGGCGACAAGTGAACAGGGATTCCGGGAAGGCCAATTTAAAATTGGAATTTCTCTGAAATTAAAAATCTTTGGGAACTTTTGGGATATTGCAAGTACACAACTACAGGAAATATATCACACTGTGCAAGTGATTTTTTGATATTTTATTACAAAATTCTAACATATTGTACCTTTAATGTCGATTTCCAAAAATGTCTCACCATATTGTGATTAGTGTTCTCTTTGGTTGGGCAGTTGGAACTTCATTTATATTATTGTAATTCTCTTCCAATTGATGCAGTGATGCAAAATGAAACCACAGTTATTTGATTACAAAAAAATATATATATAATATACACTCACCGGCCACTTTATTAGGTACACCTGTCCAACTGCTCGTTAACACTTAATTTCTAAGCAGCCAATCACATGGCGGCAACTCAGTGCATTTAGGCATGTAGACATGGTCAAGACAATCTCCTGCAGTTCAAACCAAGCATCAGTATGGGGAAGAAAGTTGATTTGAGTGACTTTGAACGTGGCATGATTGTTGGTGCCAGAAGGGCTGGTCTGAGTATTTCAGAAACTGCTAATCTACTGGGATTTTCACGCACAACCATCTCTAGGGTTTACAGAGAATGGTCCGAAAAAGAAAAAACATCCAGTGAGCGGCAGTTCTGTGGGCGGAAATGCCTTGTTGATGCCAGAGGTCAGAGGAGAATGGCCAGACTGGTTCGAGCTGATAGAAGGGCAACAGTGACTGAAATAACCACTCGTTACAACCGAGGTATGCAGCAAAGCATTTGTGAAGCCACAACACGCACAACCTTGAGGCGGATGGGCTACAACAGCAGAAGACTCCACCGGGTACCACTCATCTCCACTACAAATAGGAAAAAGAGGCTACAATTTGCAAGAGCTCACCAAAATTGAACAGTTGAAGACTGGAAAAATGTTGCCTGGTCTGATGAGTCTCGATTTCTGTTGAGACATTCAGATGTTAGAGTCAGAATTTGGCGTAAACAGAATGAGAACATGGAACCATCATGCCTTGTTACCACTGTGCAGGCTGGTGGTGGTGGTGTAATGGTGTGGGGGATGTTTTCCTGGCACACTTTAGGCCCCTTAGTGCCAATTGGGCATCGTTTAAATGCCACGGCCTACCTGAGCATTGTTTCTGACAATGTCCATCCCTTTATGGCCACCATGTACCCATCCTCTGATGGCTACTTCCACCATGTCACAAAGCTCTAATAATTTCAAATTGGTTTCTTGAACATGACAATGAGTTCACTGTACTAAAATGGCCTCCACAGTCACCAGATCTCAACCCAATAGAGCATCTTTGGGATGTGGTGGAACGGGAGATTCGCATCATGGATGTGCAGCCGACAAATCTGCGGCAACTGTGTGATGTCATCATGTCAATATGGACCAAACTCCCTGAGGAATGCTTCCAGCACCTTGTTGAATCTATGCCACGAAGAATTGAGGCAGTTCTGAAGGCAAAAGGGGGTCCAACCCGTTACTAGCATGGGGTACCTAATAAAGTGGCCGGTGAGTGTATGTATGTATATACTTAAATTATTTCCATGTTTTGAATGAATGTATTAATGATATATAACAATTATATTTCATGTATAATAATGATCTTTTAAAATTGTATTGCTAACACTTATGACAAACATTTAATTGGGTTGATATAAATAATCCCTCTATATTTGTTTAGCTTGAGTCACACACAGACTTCGACATTCAGCATGAAAACCACAATAATGGTAACAAGGTTGTTTTGTTTTTTTTAATTAGACCATTACAATTTTATTTGGTGTCTCTTGTCAGTAAAACCCCAATAACGGTTTCAAATAAAATTGTAATTTAAAATAAAGCCAAAAATAGTAAAACAAAGCAATTAATTTATTCATGCCCCAATGCACTCTTGGAGTACACTTCCTCAGATCACAGATAGATATAATTAAGTTGACAAAACTTAATTGCATCAAGTTCTTCTTACTTAATCCATTGAAGTTATGCTTACTTAAATTAAGGCAACGAGTTTGCACAATTGAATGAAGTAAACTGAACAAATTTGTTTTTACGGTGTATACACTGCATTAGTGAATCCCCGATAACGGTTACAAGCTACTAACCTAAATAACAGGCTGCAACTAATCAGAATTAAAAGTAGTAAGACAATAATAATCAGAGTAATATGCAGGGAAAACGTTGTTGAACATCTATATTTAGTTTTAGTGGTGTCAATTGATTAAAAAAAATAGCTAATCACATTTTTCTGTAAATAATTGCGATTAATCACACCTAACATCTTAATATATTAATAGAAGTTAATATATTTTTAGAATGTAACACTTTCACGTTGACCACATTTCACTAACCTGAAACCAGACTTCATTCGCCCCAATGGAAAGCATCTTTACACCACGTAGCAATAGTAAATGTGTTAAGAGTGACCGATTTTAGCAGCAACTTCAACATCTATTTATAATTTAGAGAGCATTTGATTGGACAGAAAATCTGATGAGAAGCTGAAGTGCAAAGTGATGTCATTAAAAAAAATAAAACCATATTGGCAGAAGAGAGAGACTAAGTTTTGAATGCTTACATCTTTTAAATGCGGATTTTGTCATTGTTTTGGAGCACACTAGGTGATAGATAACAGTAAAGCTAACATATTAAAAGCAAAAAATTCATTTGTGATTTCATGGGGACTTTAAGACCTGACACATTCTATTTTAATCATTAATTTAAATTTTTACTCGTTTAAGATTCTGCTTACGAGGATATTCGCCAATAGCGGCATTCCGACAATTTTGTCCAGTCAAATGCGGAAGTCGTCCATGCTGCGCTGTCTGAAGTGGCATTCTGTGTGCAGGTTTCAGGTGTTTGTTCACAGAGCCGCTTCACATTGCGGCAGTACAGATTTGAGTTATTTTTCGCTTCTTATTGTGTCCTAATGGTTTAATAGCACTAGAACGAATGATAGCGTGATCATATGTAACGCTAGCCAAAGGATGGCCGGAATAAAACGAATGCTGCGTAAATTGTAAATATTTTTAATGTGTTAAACTTAAATTAAAAATCGCATGCGTTAATTTTGACAGCCCTATTATGTAGATACAGTCAAACGCTGCGGAATGCCATCGGAACAGATTAACATCTGTTTAAATGTCATGACCTTTGCATTAGTCTTCATAATCAAAAACATCATAAAATACTTTTTGTAAGCAAGAATCAGATCTACCAGAACTTCAAAAGATAAGAACTATATGAAGCATGTTTCCACACCAATAACCATGACAGAAGACATACTCCAGCTCTTCACGCAGACAATACAGGCAATAAGCGCGTTCCTTATAGAAGTGCACAATAGAGAACATGGTCAAATGGCTTGGCCCCACATGCAACATCTCCCCCACAAATTATTCTGAAACAACGGCCATTTGTTAAAAGGATGAGAACAAAAGAACTGGAATTTCCAAATACATTTCCATGACCTACATTAAGTTTATTTGTACTTTCTAGGACACTGATTAAACCATCTTTGGTCAAATTAAAGCAGAATAAAGACAACAAGAGGGAAAAGAAAATAGGACTGCAATCACATTACATAAATAGAGGGCAACTAATATAACAGGAGAGCATTAAGGCATAAGATAAACGTAGCATAGCAACTAAAGTAAACAGCTTTGCATCTTTATCTTCATTTCTGTAGCATTATGGCTACAACTTGATTAAAATTATGCAGCTGGAGAGTACAAACCAAGCAGCTTCCACAGACATGCTGACCTCAAAAGCTCAGGCATCCAAAGGATTAGGTATTTACAAAAACCTTTGCCTGATTAGGGCTCATTATATTTCTGGCCAAACAGAACACAAATTGCCAAGGCTATAATTTTGATAAAGACAAGACTCGACAACAACATGTAGACCGGCATTATGTACTTATTTTCCAAAGTCCTAAACAAAATAATTGGTCGAGAAGTTTAAGATGACAATAAAATGTCAAAACTAAAGGCTCTGCGAATGTGAATGATAGCGAGTTTGTGCTTTTCTTCGGTTAAGAGGTCAAAGACGTTCCTATAGGAGCAATCTGCCTTTAACTCAATGGAAAAGAACACAACACCCAATGGCACAGACATCTACATATCAATAATTAAGCTTTTAATTAAGTAATGGCCATAAGGATGAAGGTATGGTTCTGGATTTATAAAAAAATAAAATAAGTGTTCAGCAGAGCATCGGGTAGTGGTTATCCTTTGCACATTTACACGCTGCTTTAAAACATCACTCACTTAGTTTTAACTGTTCCATTCATTCTGGACCTTTAAGGGTTTGCCATGCTTTTATTTTCAACCTCATTAGCACCATTTTAAAATGTATAAGCTCATTCATATTTAAACATTTGTCTTGTGGTGTAATGTGACAAAGGCCATCTGGTTTACTAGTAATTTTGCAGCAAAGGAAAACAAATAGAGATAGGCTACCCAGAAGCTCAGTTCAAGGGAAATTAAAATGCTCTGACTCCCGCAGGCTAAAAATTGAAGAGGCTCACCGACTTTGCAACCTAGACAGAAAAACTCCATATACAAAAGGAAATTTGATTTGGTGAGCACAGCACTTATCCAAATCCCATGAAACTACAAACTGAGTGAGCAAGATGATTGGTCTAGTAAGAGTGGCAGAACCATGGCCAAAAACCCTCTTTTACCTCACAATCACAATGTTATCTATAGAAAGGCAAAAAAATTATCTCCTCCTAGAAATGCCTGAAATATCTAGCTGGCACATATACCAGGAAGAAAAGTAAGAGTGAAAGCGAAGATGAGAGGAGGGGAAGAAGCTGTAGTTGGATCATGAAAAGACTTTGATGGAACTAGTTTATTATTTCTCACAGTGGGGGCGTGATTGTGTTTCTACAGTGCAAACATTTTATTTGAAGCTACAGTGAGGATAAGCATTGTGTGACATGCATCAAAGGAAAACGTACCCATCTAAACAGAAAGATCAAATGAGTGCTCATAAATCACACAATTCACAATTAATTTCTCTCTGAGCATTTCATTCAAGAGTGAATTCAGCGTCAATGCAGAAGCGCACACAAAACCACACCCTATTGTTTGCCTAAAACACACTATAAAAAGGGAGTCTAAACAGCCTTGTAAACTGGCATTACCGCATAAATACAGAGAATTAAGCACATAATTAATCTGTAATCAGCAGACAAGACCAGTCACATCCACATTAACTGGCTGACCACATTTACTCCATGTACAATTGAGGAGATCGGATATGGAAGTAATCAGCTGCAACAAACAGTTTAACTCTTCAAGACAAGGTTCCCAAAATTTTTCGCCAATGACTTCAATGTCATGCAGTCGTTTGTGATTACTTATATTTATCATAAAAAAACAGAATTATATTTATATAAACATTTATCAAAGATCACTCACAAAGTGAATTTTAGATCTGATCAACAGAGAAAAATTCCATGACTGATTTAAAATGATTTTGAATTTCACATGCAGTTTGCGTGTTTTCCATGTATTATAGACATTTCTAATCATAAAAGAAAGAATAAATAGTAATAAATTGGGGAAGGAAATATTTGTGAGACGGGGAAAGAAATAAAACTGATCAGTCCCAATCATTTGATTCTGATAATGAATAAGTAAAACTGCTAAATAAAATTTTATGTTGGGATGAAATGAATAAACAAGAGACTGAAAACAAAAAAGACGGACATAATTGGTAATGTAGCTAACTTGGATCATAAAAGCAGGTTAACTCGAAGCGAAGATACCAATTATCATTCCCAGAGTGTATCATCAACAAAAAGAGCACTGTTGAGCCTATACGCTGGTTAAGCCTGATCTAAGCAGTCTTTCAGGGAGAATGACTCACAAAGGGACAGAAACTTGAGCCAATAACTGCCAGACACACAATAGTGACCATTCCACTGCAAAAAGCATGCAGTCATTGATATTTGTATGGTTTCTCCACTAAATGGTGTCCTAAACACAAAGCAGTTCCCAAATGTGACTGCATCCAAATCTGCCTTATTGATACCTTAAAGCCACATAAAAGTCAAATATTTGTTCAGTTCCCAGCATTTCAATTTTCCATTCAAATACAATCAAATGTCCAAAAGCTGCTTTACCTGTTAGTTTTGGGAACTGCAGTGGTTTTGGCTGTGGCTGAAGTGCTGGGTTTGGCAGCAGGGGCAGCAGCTGGCCTTGGAGCTGGAGCTGAAGAAAATAAATAATGTTCCAAAGTGAAAATTCTCTGGGATATGATCAAATATGATGCAAAGCCATGATGAAAAGAACCACAATTAAATTACATTTATTTTACAAAAAAAACTAGCACATGATGACTCACTACACCATGAGAGGTGCGTGTTGTAACTACCACATGACAATAATGGATTATTTTCTAATTACGATTAGTAATTTGTAGATGCCCAAATCCAAACTTAGAAGTACCAGAACTAAACTCATGCCAGGCCATCTTACCTGTGGTTTTGGGTTTGGTTGCAGCACTAGTGGCAGGTCTTCTACTCAGGCTGGTGGCTGTGGCGACAGCTGTCCCGGTCTTTGTTCCGCTGGTTACAGTTGTTGTCATGGATCTGCTAGTTCCAACAGTAGTTACTTTAGGTTGGGCCCTTGAGGTAGCAACAGCAGTAGAAGAGCCAATAGGTTTCTTACTGGGACCAGATTGTCCAACATTAGTGGTGGTTTTTTTCTTGTCTGCTGCAGTAGTGGCCACTGGAATGGGTTTCTTGGTTAGAGTACTCGCTGCAGTCTTTGTGAGGCCATTAGCCGCACGGCTTTGGCTTGCTTTGGGTCGTGTGCCTGGTCCAGTGGTAGCCGGGCCTGGTGCTGTAGTCTTGTCTTTGACTGGGCCTTTGGATTTGCTTTTAGCATCTACTGCTTTCCCAGGAGCTTCCTTCACGGTTGGAGGAGCTGCTTGCTCAATTTGGGGTTCATCAGGTTGTGGAGGTGATGATGTAGTGCCATTTTGAGATCCCCCGTCACTGCTGGTTGGATGCGTTACGGGTTCTGTTCCTTCAGTTTCCATTGGTTCAGATGGTGATGTGGCCACCCCATCAGGTTTCATCTCCAATATTACCTGTCGATTGGCTGCTGCTAGATACACTCGCTGGATTCAGTGCTGCTCACACACTGAACCCAGGGATAACGGATGTGTTCAACTCAATAACTGCCCTGTAAAAACATGGGAAAGACAAATACAATCAGTTTAGCAGAGAAAAGTTTTTGCCATGTGTAATAGAATAAAAGATTTTTAAGTAATCAGAGTAAGAAATAAATAAACACTCCACAGAGAGAACTTGAAGTTAAATGGGAAGCAGTGTTTTCTAAAGGGAACCATCCTCATGAATGGTGACTTGGGAAAAACAGGAAATGGTGCATTATGAAAAAAACAAAATACAAAAAAGATCACGTCCAGGTCAAGCATCCTAGATGATCACTGTAGTTTTAAAATAGTTTAGAATATAGAATGAAATACTATAAAAGTATCCTGTTAAAATAAAATAAAAAAACACATCAACTGTGGTTGCCAGAAATACAGTGACAATTTGTCATGTATTACAGGATGGAATATTGATTACTGTAGATTTTACAACTTATAACATTGCCATTCACTTCTCACTCATTTCATTCACCAATACATTAGTCAGAAATGGCTCCATAATTTTTTTTTTTTTTTTATCAGGATATAAGATGATTTGTGTGGATTATTTACACAGAGCCATCACCACCACCTGCTATATGATGCCATTATCTGGACTGCAGGTTTCATCTACTGGTTCATTCAAACTAGTAATTTCCTGTCTGCCAAGTGTAAACAGAGATGATGTCATAAGTGAAGAAACAACTATGTCCCAGACAGTAGACATCTTTTTCACGCAACACAGATTCAAATCCATAACTTTTTATGTCTCATAAATAAACCCAAATTAAATTTTGGTAGAATTCTAAAAGAAAATTTCAATATAACTCTTACTGGAGCACTGCACTATGAAAGTAATTTTTGTTTCCTTCAGGGACTGATGCAAAAGCTCGTCAGCAAAAAAGATTGTGGAATTTGGGCTCTAAGAGAGGAGGATAAAGGGTCAATGTGGTGGAGAGGGGGGCTTTGCACCCATTCACCCCTCTCCATTCTCCAAACTCCTTTATTCAGAATCCTCTTGTCTTACTCCTTAACCACATAACCACAACCCCCCTCTTTCTTCCATTCTCCTTCCCCTCCTCCTCTGCATCAGATCTGTTCCTCGTCTGCAGTTATACAGATGGCCCAAGCAGCTGAGCTATTGTTCTGGCTCTTCAACAAGCCCAAGCCACCAATCCAGAGAGCAAATAAAGAAAGGGGAAAGGGGAAAATAGTGGGATGAAGTAACAATGATGAGGAAAGCAGAGAAATCCAATTTTAAAATCATCATCATGCAGGAAATGAGTGGGCTCAAGTGTGTGTGACAGAATCATGAGGAGGAAAACATACAGCAAAACTGAATCAAAATGTTGAAGGAAGTCACTCAAGAGACAGAAAACAAAGATGATGGGTGACAAGTTCTTGAAAAAACTTGTTATCCTACAGGCCAAGATGAATTGGGAAGTCATCGTTCTGCCCAGAAATTACCCAGCAGCCCTGCTGCTGTGTCTCCATGTGGATGTGAAGCTCAACCAGGGGACATTCAAAAAAAGAGATCCAATTTAGTCAGAGAAGAGTAAAAAAGTAAAAAATGTTGCACAGATCATTGGAAACCAAGAGAATATCTGCAGCAATGAATCCAGCTGTTTTACATCACAGTTCAGCTTCCCATGAATATCACTCCATCTTTCTCACCTCGTATTCATATTTTAAATTAGTTTTAAGTTTATAGCCATCTTTGTTTTGTTTTTTCATGTCTATAAAGTTATTAAATTTATTTTGTTTCAGTTCTAGTTTTAGTTATTTTGGTACATCAAGTTAAACTAAATGAAAATGAGAACTATCAGGAAAATCTAACAGCAAAAGCACTTGTGAGGCAACATGACATCGAAAAAAAGCCTACTTTATCATCCAAACCAAATCGGTTCACACTTAAAAATAACAGTTCCAAAAGTAGGTTCACAGCGATGCCATAATATAGAAGAACTGATTTTTCCATGGCCTTTTCAGCTATTCATCTATTTGATTCAAGACTGATCTGCTAATGAGTCTTTCAGACTGATGCATGAACCAAACCAACCAATTCATTTAAAAGAACTGACTCAAAGAAACAACTCACTCTCAGATTTAAAAAATGACCATGGTTTAAGAGCAAACCATAGCTGATATGATATTGTAGAGCACAGCATAGGAAAAAGTATGATTTTCCAGGCTTGGAGAACAAGATGAAAAAAAAAATTACTAATATTTGCAGTTTTTCAATGAAAGTAGGAACCTTGTCTGCCTCTCATTAAACCCCATGCCTGTCTTGTTCAATATCTTAATCTGTTATTTGTTTGGATTAGGGAATTTACATGTATAGATTGAGGATTATAAAGGTGCCATGAGGACATTTTAAAACATGCTTCCCTAATCCTAAACCTAGCCCTATATTAAACTTCTGGTGTTATCAGATCTGAAATAATCAAATAAATGAAGCTTATAAAGCAGCTTTCCACATTTCCCAAGTGTGTGTCTTTTTACTTAGTGTAGTGGTTTGATGGACTGTGCTGTGACAGCGTCCCACTAAGCGGTTCAGAAACATCTGCAGATGACAGCTAGAGACACACACACAGGCACAAAGCAAATGTCACATTCTAGAGAATCTGTGCAAGAGAAACTGATACAAAACCAAAAAGGAACAAATAGCGAGACCTTGCAAACCCAAATTCCTGCACAGGGCTTCCAGCTCCTCAGGGCCGAGCCATAACCAACTGTCATAGACAGACGTCCAGCTATTTCCATGCAGCTGTAGTTGGCCACATCCTGCATTCTTGTAATAAGAGCCAGCAGTAGGACCCAGGCCTCTGTTTAACAAATATCTATATCCTCATTCTAATTGTCAAGTTTAGTTTTAACTTGTAATTTCACAAGAAAGTTATAATCAGTAACTTGATGTTACCTGGCGAAAACTGAAAAATAATCGGAATGGGATGAGAGATCGAATAACGAAACGGATTTCACCAGAGAGGTAAAAAAGCGACACAAACACATACCCCTCATACAATCTGCCCATACAAGGCAGTGCTCTCACAACGCTACCACTGGCACATGCACTCCTAAGAGATCAACACATGAAAACACTGAAAGAGTGCAGCAACACACCCCTCCTATTCCATCTCTTTTACTCCCTACACATTACAGTCAATTAGTCATCGGACTCCCACACTGACTCCATGAGACTGCTCTTACCAAAGACTAAAATGATAATGTGCATAAAGATATTATTGTGCATCTTTCAATTGGCAGGTCCAAAACCGAGCTTGCATAGCAAATTCAAGTTTTTCTTAAAGGAATTCGACTAAAAATTATCCCATAATTTAGCTACTCACCCTCAAGACATTCTAGGTGTATATGACTTTCTTCTTTCAGCCAATCACAATCTGAGTTATATTAAATAATATCCTGGCTCTTCCAAGCTTTGTAACATCATTGAATAGTGCCGGGTTTTTGAAGCTCCAAAAAGCCCATCCATTTTGCAATACATTTAAGAATTTACTCCTGTGATGCAAAGCTGAATGTTCAGCATCATTACTCCAGTCTTCAGTGTCACATGATCCTTCAGAAACAGTTGTGCTGCTTAATGTTTTAAATAGTTTTCAGGACTTTTTCTGATTACTTAAATTTTTGAATTAAATTCGAAATCTTTAACATATTTAGTGCATCCTTTCTGAATAATAATAAAAAAAAAGAATTTTCTGACCTCAAACTTTTGAATGATATAAGAAAATCTGCAAATAATGAAATGGCAAATTACTACAAATAATATTTTAAATACACATCTGAAAACAAGTCTGAGCTTACATAAGTCTGACCTGCATCTCAAGTTGATAATTCACTTTTCAGCATTTGCACACTGACCTCTGAAATTTGCATGGGCACCCAGTCTGTGGGTGTTCACTTTTTACTTTCACTTCCCATATAGAAAACGACAGCCAGTAATAATTAAGTGCGACTTTTTCAGTGTTCATTTTAAAGGAAAATTTAAAAACAGAACTAAACTCTTATCAGTAGCTTAAACAATCAAAGTAGCAAAAACATTTAATAAACTCTGCTGATTTTGAAAAAGAAAATGCTGCTTTATGCAAAGGAAAATATGGGGGGGGGGGGGGGGGGGGGGATTCTCTTCTGATTCTGTCTTGGCCTGCATATCAGTTACATCCCAGAACAAAATGTAACATGCTGCGTAGTGCTAGAAAACCCAGATTCCCATCTTTCTCCCTGAGCTACATCTCAGCATGTTTATGAGCACACCACATTCCTTAATATGGACAAGAGACAGGAAGTCACAACATACATATACACCCACAACTGTGAGAGTGAAAACTGCCCATGTGAAATAGTCTCCTCGCAGGAAGGGGGAAATTCTTTAATATGCTCAAAGTAATAAAAGAGTCACCAGTGGTGGGTGCGATTTCTCGACTTTCTGATCCTCCACACAAACCTTTACAGATAAAATACACCCATATAGATACAAACCAGCACTTTCTGTAAATGTTCTCCACCATTCACTAGTTCCTTTAGCAGGTTTCAGTTCTTATTGTAGTCAATCTAAAGTAACCTTTCGTCATTAGTACTGTAATTTGCATTGGTAAATGGTTACTATATGGGTGAGGGATGGGTAATGGGTCAGTATTGTGTTTGTGTGTGGGGTCGAGCTGAAGTGTCAGACTTCAGGGAGTGTGAAACGGTAGTAACGATGCAGATAAACAGGAAGAAACGTGACGACCCTGCTCCCACTCATCCAACGGGATTAACTCCAGACAAGCGAGCCGTCTGTGTTGTCTCAGTATAGGGTGTGAATGGGGCTTAATGACCCGGCAGGGTTTGATTTTGCCATGCGTAATGTAAGGATTAAGAGAGGACATTCCCCATTGTGTGCGGCGCACCATGCTGACGGGGGCTGGGCACAGCCAGAA